TAAGTTTGAAATGTAAAATGTTAACGGACGAAGGACGACGGACGACGAAGGACGAAAACGGATAGCAATAGGTCACTTGAGCTAAAGCTCAGGTGACCTAAAAATTCACAATTTAAATCAAATAGATAGTTCACATCTAAGTCATGATACAAGCTTCGAACATCAAGAATTTAAAACAATAGTTATGAAGAAAATAATATTTCAAGTTTAAAACCTTATAATTAACTACAGATGTGTGTATGCATCATATATTCATCTGTTGACAAGAACACTTTTTTTACAACCCATGTGTTTAACATCACAAACAACAACGAAGTATTGCCCATATGTTTATTGCACAGCTGTGATTGTATAATGATGTCAATACATTCGTTCATTCTGTCATAAATACATTATTACGTCATACATAGAGTACATATACTTGAAATAGTCTTTGTCATGCATACAGTATATACTGGAAACGCAGTATATACTGGAAACGCAGTATATACTGGAAACACAATATATACTGGAAACGCAGTATATACTGGAAACACAATATATACTGGAATCGGCAGTGTAGGTCATATACACAGCGTATACCCGGAAAGCTAATCTATGACGTACAGCATACCTGTATGCTAGAAATATTAGTCTCAAGTCAACCATACATTATATACTGGAAACAGTCCTCGGAAACATATCTGTCTATGTCGTACATGTCGTAGTGGCTATATCAGTCATTTATAATTAACAACATATGAGTTATGGAAATCAACATGGAATGATACCCAAATTTAGATAAAGCAAGAAAGAAAAAAAGCAGGAAGAAAATAACAAAAACTACCATTCCTGAGCTTAATGTTTCTAAAAGTTACAAGTACAGTACAAGTGTACATGAAAATAGATCACTCCAACAATGATAAAACAGAACAACACATTACATAGATGTTCAGTGTAAAAGCAGTCACACAGACTCTACAAGGTATATTTATGATAAAAATATTTATATCTATAAATATTTACAGCATAAAATGTTTACTGTACCAGTACATATAGATCTATGACATACATTGTATACAGTTTTTACTGTACCAGTACATATCTATGACATACCTTAACCTTCTACAATGTCTTGTATTGTGTAAATCTTTTAGGAATTACATCATTAATGTTTTACAGTACATGTATTAGTATACAAGTTTTTGCTTGAATTCGTTTCCATGGTTGAAAATGTCGCAATACACCCTTGAGTACTGAATGGCACCCAATCAGTTATCAACTATACCGCTAGTCATATGTATACTGTATGTTAATTATATAAGCTAGGTTCTTAAACAGACAAAGTAATGACCAGTGCACCTTTATGTACATTTAATACTTTTAAAACTACTGTTCTAGATATGTTGGACATCATTCGTAATAAATTTTCCATAGTTTGAGCCATGAAACCTTGCATTTGTATTCAATGTTTAACATCTTATGATTAGACAATAATTCATGTTAATAATATTCAATGGCTATGTATTTCTGCATTCGATACAGTCACCAAGACAAACACTAACTTAACACCCTAACATTGCAAACCTCTGTGTTTACATAGACATGTGTGAGAACATTTAATGATACCAAGTACTTTAACTGGTATTTGATAGTTCTGTCACAGAGTGTAGAAGTTACCCCTCTTTGGGGATAACATCGCCTTATTGTTTGATACCTAGATAATCATCTGGTATAGAATACAATGTTTGCACTCATTTCCCTGTGTGTAAGATAGAGCTGTCCAGGGTAAGAAAGGGGTGTAGGAAATTTCTATCTTGCACCCCATTTCACGTGACGTGACGTAACAATGCCTCAACAATGACGTGACGTCACGAATTTGGAACTCTCCGATGCCGCAATGGGGAAAAGACGATGTGATGAAATTAAAACCTTTTACAATATATTTTACATTACAGGTTAGAAAGATGTGATTATTTTTTCTGCGCAAACATCGTTTGCAAATATGGGATATGCTTAATCTGGCTGGCTGATTCGTTTTTGACGAAAGAGCTCAGGGGAAAAGTTCATATTTTCAAAATGGTGGCTAGTCCAAATGCATTTTCATGGTTTCTGGGCTTATTCTGGTGGTTGGAATGAGAGAATAATACCCTTTCATGCCAAAGGGTTTAGGATAGGGAAATTCCACCCTCAGAATTTTCAATTTTGGCAAAACCAAAACTCAAGTCAAAACAGTACACCCAACTTCAAAGCAGTCGGTTTTACCGTAATGCGACATATTCTTTTGACGTACATCAACGATTCAAACTAGTCTTCCTGTCTCATCCACAAGGTGGTGCACATTGAAGCTTTCGATTTTGTCATGACATATTCCAGGGGAGAGCGAAGGTGAGCGTAACCCCTGGATATCGAGGATGAAGTGGTAGTCATCAGACCTAAACTAAGTCAAAACTTGCAAATGTTAGTTATAGTGAGTTAGTTTAACTTGGTTCGAGTCAAATTGTAAAATGTTAGTGATATTGGGACCAGATCTATGGTTTGTCAAGAAGGCATATAAAATTATATAATTACTGAGGTAGTAATTTTACCACATTTGTAACCATTGATTGAAAGTTATAAGTACAAACCGACCATAGTAATACATGTACTTATACACTTCCAAAGAAATGACAATATATTCAATTTAATTATATACTATCCCAACTTGCTAAGTACAAACATATACAATAAACAATAAAACAACAAAAACAACTCAAATACATGTATACAATATTCTATAGCACATTTCTATTTTTGTTAAGCAGCAAAATCAAAAAATATTTTCAGTTTAAGAAAAAATATTAATTAAATTATAGCACTGTACGAAAAAGAAGTGCAGGAAAAGAATCAAAATATGAATTTTATAAATACAATGTAATACCAGGCATGCAAACTTGACTGTTGTGTTAATACTTATAAAAAATACACATAAATTGTATTGATTTAATTGATTGAAGACAAGAAACAGTTTATATCAATATGTGATTAAACAAAAAACAATAAGGATACAGTGTAAATGCTGATTATAGTGTAAGATTATATATCACAGGGGAAGATAAAAATTATCAGAATATTTCTGGTGTAAATTTTGATTTATATACGGGACAAATAATATGATTTGTTCATACCGGCCTTGAAAAGGCCCTAAAAACAAAGGGTTGGCCTTGAAAAGGCTTCAAATTGATGAAAAGGCCAGTACAGAAAATTGAGGAATTTGTCAAAATCATCTTACCTAAATATTAATTGTCCCAATCAAAATGAGATTCAATAAGTAATATTATGCATGTCCATGTACTTACCCTGATAGGCCTCAAATTGATGAAAAGGCCAGTACAGAAAATTGAGGAATTTGTCAAAATCATCTTACCTAAATATTAATTGTCCCAATCAAAATGAGATTCAATAAGTAATATTATGCATGTCCATGTACTTACCCTGATAGTATGGGCAGACATGTTTGTTTATTGAGGACTAAGGAATGAGATTGTCATGACAAGGTATACCTGTATTATAATTAGTCATATTACCAAATAAGGATATGATATATGTTACCTATTTAAAAACAATATTAATCAGATCATTATTTATGTTAAAATGTCTTGTGATCTCTCATATTTTACAAACATATCAATCACATCTAAAAAAAAAAAAAAATACAACAAAAATAATAACACATAAACCAACCATATGAAACATGAAAAAAAATACAAAACAAAATCAATAATAAACAATTATTTGTAGCTAAATACACATAACAACAATTCCGTCTTTGCGTATTGCAGAGTTATCTTCTCTTGTGAGCAGGTATTGATTGTTACGTCATTGGTTTGTGTGAGAAAATTACGTCGTTTTCTCAAAAATTGATGACGTTACTCTCACAAACCAATGACGTAACAATCAATACCTGCTCACAAGAGAAGATAACTCTGCAATACGCAAAGACGGAATAGAATACATCTATAATCTTTGGATGGGTTTGGACTTGTCACTGTTCTCTTGTAGAGGTACCAATATTACAGGGACTGGAAGTGGCAAGAAATCAAATCAGATATATGTTTGTGATAAATACACTGTATTCTTATCAGTTGTTTACAATTCTATGAAACAATTTCTTGTCAGAAATCAAGAATTTGTTCAGTTATAGGTGGCCCAGCGGAGAGCGCACTCGCCTTTTACCAAGGCAGCTATGGTTTGACTCCCTAATTGTATGTAAAAAGGTATTGGATCACCTACACCAACACATTGGTTTTCTACAGGTGCTCCAGTTTCCTTCCACATTTCGGGAGGGGGGAGCATCCATCTGGTCAAACAAGAGTGATTAATATAAGTTGAAAAAGTATGTTGTCGATTCTTTGTTATATTTTTCATGAATTTTATCAAATTTAATTTTATCATGTATTTCATACAAATTATAGTTCAATTCTAGAGAATACAATATATAAACAATATATGAATATATACCCATTTCTTATAGAGCCAAACAAAATGTAACATTTTATGATCGAGACATTGAGCGAAAACAATACAAATGTATATAAAGTTAATGGTTTTCATTGAACATGAGACAAAAACAAATAAAAACAAAATGACAATAAATTTGAACTGTAACATGACAAAGTTGATGGAACTGTATATATAAGTATGACAAGCGTGATGGCACTTTATATTAACATAATCACCGGTCCTTTAAATTTTCGACATGCAGTAAAAATAATGATTACTGCAAGATGTAAGGTCATTTATAGGACAAGGTATAGACAACAATTACAAGGCAGTCTTTATAGTGACAAAATTACTTTCTCTATTCGTGTGGGTGATGTGGGGGGGTAAACTTTTGCTCCTTTTTTAATTGACCCCTACACACTTTTAATGAGAAAGATAACATTTAACAGTAATCAAACTCAAACTAAGTATAGGGGTTACCAGTGGACACTGTCACTGTCTACATGGCATTCAATAAGATCCCCCCCCCCCCCCCCCCCCAAATATATATACATGTATATAATTTGTTTTGTATGTAAGAAACACAGTTCACAGCTCGTGAATAAAAGGGTCTACAAAACAAAAATTCAAAAATTCAAGCACCAACGAGATTCCATTGTATAGAACATTGTTGTAGGCATGTCACGTTATATAAGTATATATCTATATACAAAGTGACATACCTACAACTCAAGTTTATATTTAAGTATATGGCACTGTGAGTAGGAACAAAACCTAATACAGTGTATATAGTATCGTTTTAGATATGACATTTTATATCAGAGGCCCAGGGGCCCTAAATAGCTCACCTGGTTTTTTTGGATGTGAAGCTTTTCTTTTAGTTTGAAATTTGCCCATTAGTTTGAAAAGACAGCCTCCAGGAATGTTAACAATTATAGTTACGCAATTTTGCTTTTCATTGACTATGGACTCTATTACAATAATTTTGTTGAAATCTGGCCAGCAGTTTGAGAGAAGATGTTGTTTAAAGCAAAATGACCACTTTTGACCAAATGGACTGGCATTAATATAACCCACCTGTCAGCCCTTACAAGGTTCATTCATGTCATAGATATAGCTTTTGATCCCAATGGGCTTAAAATGCAATCACCAAAATTTGCTTGAAATCAACAGAGCAATTCGTGTGGAGACGTCCTTTTATGCAAGTGTTAACAGATTGACAGGATGTTAGGTGACAGATGAAGCGTCACAACATAAGCACACCAAGTGAACTAATAATATATAAGTAGATACAACATCTCGTACAATATGACTCTAAATTGATGGCATCTTGAACATGACATAAGTATTCTTTTACAAAATAATATGGCACTTTTTGAACAAAAAATACAAAATACAAAATGCTAAATGCAGAAAAAAATGGAAGACTGAAGGAAAATTCCAGAATGCAAGTTGAAGTGACCACATGCATGTAGTGGCTTGCTTTTTCTTCGGAACGTGAACTGGTCAGTTAAACAAGAGAAACAAGATCTACTACTCGACTAGCCAACATACAGCTGTCACAGGCGTTAACATCCTCAAATAATTTGTCATGTAAGCATTTGATCTGAGACAATTCTTTACACCTTTTGAATGTGCTTACTCCTTCAACGGCAATACCAAAATTAGGAGTGTACATCTCCTTGTTACAGTAGCTACTGTTGTATATTGAAGTGAGCTGTATACACAATTAAAACAGGTAACATTACATATTTATAGAAACATTTGTCACAAAAGACTGTTGATATAATGAAAAATATTCAAAGGTAAATAACGTTTACAACAATAATTGAACGTTTATTCCAAAACATTTGTATCAAAATATATTTTCAAATCAACGTTTCGAGGATCAAATCACCGACCATACAAAAATAATTTTGAAAGACTTCATTACTCTGCATGCAGAAGAGTTCCGTAAAACAAGAACTATAACTCTTCATGGACAGATCCCTCCGCATCACTGTCTTGACTGTTTTCGCTGGACATGCTTGAGAGAACTTTCTGAGCTTGAATCCTGGCCAGTTCTTTGAAGTTTGGATCAAGCGTATACCACATGGCTACAGCACACCTCTGACCTTTCGTCACACTGTTCACCCCGTGAAGGTGGGCAGCATTAAAACCAATAATTCGTCCACATTTAGGCTTGAGAGTAACCTATTTAGAGGAAAAAATTGTAGACAATACAGAAGAAAGCCAGGATACAATAGATATGAACATCATCAATTACTTTATAAGTAAAAAACTTAATAATTTCACAATTCAGGTAAAAACTGTCGATGTTATTTGTTATACAACTTTTCCACAGAAAAAAAATCTATGACTTCTTTATTACTAAAAGAAGTAAAGAAGTCAGCATAGATATTGAAACAGAATCAAATTAGACAAAATATAGATAAGCACATTTTTTTCAGCAAACAAATTAAACATCATACATCATTGTATTCATTATACTTACGTCAGCACTTGTGTTGGAATGAGCAAAGAAAAAATCCCCACCTTCAAAATCGTCGTTAAGGTACATGAGGGCACTGAAATGATGATTTATGATATATTAATGACTTTTACACAGAAAAAGTCCATTATTGAGTTCCAGAGACAATTCCATGATCTAATTAGATTTGACAGATATTGCTATTTACTTTTGAGTTTAACCCTTTCACCCCTCTGTAACTTTAGTAAACTCTACCATGCATTGATCTGGATGAGTCCATTATGGTCCACAGTGGTGAAAGGGTTAACATCATTTATTTTAATTCAAGTTGACTACAACAATTGATCTGTATAGCTGTATTCATGATTTACAAAAGGCCCAAGAGGCCTTTATACTCACATGAAGTTTATGACCTAATTAAATTGAGAATAGATGAACAGACAATATAATGTAAGAGGAACAGCTACTGTGGCACTTCATAATAACGTTTACAACATTCTGGTCAAACTGAAAGTTATAAACACACTTTCAGGATGACTGGTCTGGTAGCTAAAAGTTTCAGCAAAATTAGTGAGTAGAATTGGCGTTCAAACTCCAGAAATAATTTGTAAATGGCTGCCATGGCAGCTATATTGGACATCTAATGAGCCCAAAAATAATGAGAATTGGTCAGGTCGGTGCACTTACCCTTCCCACTAAGTTTCGTCAAAATTGGTTAGGAAGAAATTGGTGATTCTCATGTGAGCTTAGAATATGAAAACCAAATCAAATGATGAATAGAGCTGTATTAGAGGTGAAACATATAAACAAGCCATTCAGATTGATATGTCTCGCCTAATTATTTGCCCCGCTTAGATCATCAATGCACATATCGGTGAAACTAAATTAAAAGCAAAAACCTTATGTTGATGGAGATGCTGACAAAGTCAATGGACCATGAAAGGTATGCCGCATCCAGCATTTGATGTATGGGCTGAGATGTGCTACCTAAGATGCATCTATGGTGCGAGTTTGGTTGGAGTAGCGCTTATACTTTCAGAGAAACGAACTTAAACACAAACATTTAACGTTGACACTGTCACCGTCGTCGCCGGAAAAGCAACACCTAAGTCTCGCTTCCACTTCGTGGTGGCGAGACGAAAAAACAGACGATGCCAGATTTCACTGGTATTAATCGCAGGAGATCCAGTCCTGAGACTATTTTTCTGTACATCATGTGTTGTATACATGTTACCTGTAGTCACGCTGGACAAAGGCAGGAAAGGCACGTGAACAGGTCCCGTCTTTGATGTTTAGCTGACAGTTGTCACCATGGACAGGGTGGCTGAGATCTGTCCGCCCAGCTTGCACACCTAAATCAAAGAAATTGTTTTTTTACAGGTAATCATTAATGTAGCTGTAATTTTGAAGACATAAGGCTATTCCGTATCAACAGTGGCTCAATATAACCAAGTTACTCCCTACTTTTCCATTATTTTCTTTCAAAGATAATTTTCCTATACTCAATACTGTGAAAAACATGCCTGTACATAGTATCAATAATAAAGTAATCAGTGGTAGGAAGGTCTATTGCTGATCAACCAGTAACATTTTAAACATAAAATTCAGAAAAACCCATTTGCTGCCTTACGAGCATTTCTACCACATCATACACCACTTCAGATTCCTCCAATAAAGGCCTTTCAGTGATGTTATAATGTGATCTTCTCTCACTGATATCAGAATGGCCAAAAACAGGTCTAATATCTAGCTTATCTTTATAGATGATTTTTTATCATTTAGACATGAAGTTTGTGAAAGAATTTTTCTAATTAACTCATTCACCCCTGTAGACACATTTGAGCTTTTCAAATTCAAAGGTTGGAATATTTCATTATGAAATTTCAGGGGTGAATGAGTTAACATAGCTGTAAGAGGACAGAGTTCTGAGTCTACAGTCAATTTAAAATGTATATATAGTCTGACATTACAAGATTACAGCGTTGTGACACACAAGACGGTAGACAGACAACAGTTATATTTGGGACTGTCTATGCACGGTTTTCACACATAACGACACCTTCTACAGCAGTGCGACACATAAGACGGTAGACAGACAACAGTTATATTTGGGACTGTCTATATGTATGGTTCACACATAACGACACCTTCTACAGCGGTGCGACACATAAGACGGTAGACAGACAACAGTTATATTTGGGACTGTCTATGCACAGTTTACACACATAACGACACCTTCTACAGCGGTACGACACACAAGACGGTAGACAGACATCAGTTATATTTGGGACTGTCTATGCACGGTTTTCACACATAATGACACCTTCTACAGCAGTGCGACACATAAGACGGTAGACAGACAACAGTTATATTTGGGACTGTCTATGCATGGTTTACACATAATGACACCATCTACAGCGGTGCTACAATAAGACAGTAGACAGACAACAGTTATATTTGGTACTGTCTATGCATAGCTTACACATAACCCATACTTTCTACAGCGGTGCGACACACAAGACGGTAGACAGACAACAGTTATATTTGGTACTGTATATGCATGGTTTACACATAACCCATACCTTCTACAGCGGTGCGACACACTAGATGAGTGTAGTCAAAATACAGTGGCTTTGTGAGGTTGAAGAATTTCTCCACAAACAGACGACTGCGTTCACTTGCACTGAGGTAAAGTTCCACGGATTCCTTGCTCACTGCTCCACTCTTAGCTAGCTAATTAAGGAACACAACATTACACACATTTAAGAATAAAATGATTCTTTTCAATATTTGGGCCACTATTCGATAATTTTCCTGATAATATAATTGCTTACTGTTATTTTAATCAAACAAGTGGATTTGAAGATATAGCACATGTCATCCTTACAAATACAATTCAATAAAACAAGAACAAAACTGACAATAAATACAAAATAACTTCAGTTAACATATATCAAGTGTTCAAAATTGAAGAAATATGAATTTAGGAAAAAGTGCAGAATATAAAGAAGCAGCAATGTGTGGAATAAAAATACTAATCACCAACAGATAAAATATATTGGAAAAACAATTCATGCAGTTATCTCCCTTAGACTATATAATACAATTGTCCTTTGCCCACACCAGTTGTTTTTTACCTATGGTTTCTCCACTGATTAACCACACATCAAACTGTTCCACCTGTAATTTACTCAAAGTCACCGCTTTACAGGTGACCTTCAATTGTAAGATTAAACTGAGGACCCAGAGTGGGACATGAACATTACTCTGAGGATAATACGTTATCATCTTACTGAACATTTAATATTTCTGCACTGCAATTTTTTCACAATGGTTATAATAGATCATCACAATCACTTCACAATACTTGCCAATCTCCCATTCTTAAAGAGATGGTCTATTTCCTTTTTTTAACTTCCCTTTTGACTTTTGATAACATAAAGGAATATAATTATTATTCCCTAAATCTTGCTTTTTTAAATTCAATTCCTCATTGCAAATAACAGCTCAAACTAAGGCATTTCAAGCTATATGCTATTGCCACAGTTTCGTCAACGAAAGCAACAGTGGTACAAACCTTGATGGCACGGTGAATGGTGAGTCCCTCGAATATCTCATTGTCTGTGTGAGGAGATATCGCCACAGCTTCAAAGTTGTCTTTCTCATTGTACCCATCACCAATAATAGCCCCGTTCTAGTGAGGAGAACCGCATGCATAGAAATACAGAATACATAGAACAAACTACCCCAAAGTGTATCAACACACCAGAAAACATGTCTGAGGCAACACCTATCACACTGGACATAGTTGTTAATCACAGGTAACAACACAATACGATTTTAATAATATGGAATGTGTTTTTTTCAATCTTTGACTTCAAAAATATATACATGTGTGGAGACACAGAGGTACGCAGAGAACAAGGTACATACCAGTTCAAGTCTGCTGTAAATGATATGAATATTTCACACCTGTGACCTTGACACAGACAGTTTGAGTTTAGTGCACACACTGGTAAAGTAACACAAGGTAAAGTATCACACAGGTAAGGTATTAACACACAGGTAAAGAAACACAAGGTAAAGTAACACACAGATTAACTATCACACAGGTTAAGTAACAATTAGGATAAGTATCACACATGTACAGGTAAAGTAACACACAGGTAAATTATCACAATGGTAAACTATCACACAGAAAAAGTAACATACAGATACATAAGTAAAGTACCACAAAGTTAAAGTAACACATAGGTAAAGTATCACACAGGTAAAGCAACACAAGTTAAGTAACACACAGGTAAAGTCACACATAAAGTATCATATACTTTGTACACCGGCACCAGAAAAAGAAAAAAACACATCCCAGTAAATCAGATACAATATCATTAAGAATATTCAAAAAAGATATAATGTCACTGCAGTAAAACATGTTTACAACAGACGCAGATACTGAGCTCATGTAACGGAGCATTTACAGTGCTGCAGATAAAGAGTACCACAGTAGGGTATAACTTATAGCAAACATTTGGGTGACCTGATTGTAAACATGTTTTACTGTAATCATATATGATTATGCTGAAAACCAGCACCAGGCAGTATATATAACTATCAGTTCTTATCATATACATGTACAACAGTGTAGCACCAGCCCTGCAACACCACACAGTGTGTGTGTGTAGTATATACCTCGGCAGCAACAATAACGTTGAGTCCCATGAATATCTCTCGGTCGGTGTGGGGACGCGACTTCTTATAGCCATCACCAACGATACCTTTCTTCAGGAAAATTAGAAATCAGCACTGTCACAAGACTTATGACATCACTAACCATCCATTGATTACAAAATTTGAACTAATTCCCACCACTCTTAAAAGACTGTTTTATGCGTGTTGGCATATCTGTCAGAATTTTAGTAATTTGCAAAGTTAAATCACCAAGCAGAATGGGATACATAAAAATAAGCTTTTAAAAAAATATTGCGATACAGCAATATTTCATCTGGGTATTGTGGTACAGTACGATATACCCGAGTATTGCGATATACCTGTTTTTCGTATTGTGACCGCCCTACCATGTATGTGTGTAGCTGGAGAACAATGACAGACAAGTATGTGTACCCATGCATGTTGGTAGCAATGGAAATCCCTGAGATTACATGTTATAGCCAAAATCATATTTAAAAAGTCGCAGTATATGATTCCTTTATTGTGTTTACAAGCTATAAAGACATTTTTTTGGGCTTCTTGATTGGTAAAGTTACCTTCGCCAGGGCGATGAGTGCAGAGCACGCCTCATCATCAATCAGGCCGTCTGCTATGACACGCTCGTTTCCATGGAGTTCCGCATTAGCCTGCACAACTGTTGTACCTTCAGGGTGTCAATGAGACAGATTAGCGTGACGCTGAACTCTCTGGTACATTCAAGCTCAGTTTAAGAAATTCACATGGGAATATCATATTCATACTTAACTCATTCACCCCTGAAGACACTATTAAACTCCTCCAATTCAAAGGTTGGAATAGTTTATCATGAAACTTCAGGGGTGAATGAGTTAAAGCAAAACAAGTTGAAAGCCAAGAACCTGAATTTCATTTGATTTTAAACTGTTACATACCAGGGTATGGATCAACATAATTTAAATGTTTGAAGCGTATAAACACTAATGATTGCAAAAAGTAATAAAACAGAGACTGAATTTCTTTTCTTTGTTATAAAACTATAAATATATATCTGGAAATTATGCCTTCTCTTAGATAATCTCACCTTCTCTTTCGAACTTCTGAAGAATGACGGAACTATTGGAAGCAGATCTTTGATTCTCTAGACTAAGTAGGAAGGACTTGGCTATACGGACGACAGGGTTGTCATGACTACGGTCCGAGGTATAGGTTACAACCATGGCACATCTTTGTGACTTAGATGGAAGGATTCCGTGTCTGTCAAAGGCTTCAAACCCGACCAAATGTCCACACTTTATGCCAGGTAAAGATGAGGACTGAAAAAACAGAACCGTAGAAATGTTTTTAAATTTTGATGTATCATCTCACCAATATCTATTTTGGCATGGAAACAATAGATATTAAGGCATGGAAACAATAGATATTAAGAGGTTATCACAAGCTCATTTCCATATCCTACCCTGTATAATGCCGAGACCTCCATATCAACCCAAGGCTGATATGGGTCAAGGGTTGATAGGGGTTAGGATATGGAAATGGTACCTTTTTTTATGATATACATGTACTGCATGTTGTAAACAATTTAGTATGACAGCAAAATCATTATCACTAACACTTTCTGAAATACGTTAAACCCTAACAAAATGGATATAGAATGTGCGGGGTAGATATGGTGCATGCTGTTTATCACATGAGCTGGCTAGTATACGTAATGAGAAATAACACACGTAACTTGTGAAATAACATTCACATGACATTGAAAATTTACAGTGAAAGACAAATAAACCATAGTGAAGAAACTTAATTAATTATCAAGTTCTTTTCTCATCTTTGTGTAATATTCGACTCCTGTGACCTTGTATATACTTCAAGGTCATTCCATTCAACACATGTTATAGCTCTTCACTCCAGTAAGCTACGGAAAATCATGACTTGAAGACTCATTGTTCTGAAGAAGTCATTTGAAATTTTATTGCATTTGAATCCTATCACCTTGAAATTGTGTCGAAGATAACAATTTATAACCTTTACAGATTACAGGCCCGCAAGCTACAGGTTTATGACAAATTTAATGACTCTAGGACCCATGCTTCTGTAGAAGAAGTCGTTTGAAGTATTATACACGGAGAATACAGTGTTGATAGTCTTTTTTTTTCTGTGTGTATGATATGGTAATAGTCCTGGTGGGGTTTTGTGTCTTCAGCAGTGTATAATTCCACTAGTCAGATTCACAGGTAAGCAGATTTTATGTCAGTGCTTGTGAAAACTTCAATATATACTGAAAACATTTGTCAGATAAGTAGATTTTTTTCAAAATCTATCTGTTGTTGACTGTACCCTAAATATGGAATTGTACACCCCTGATGACGTTGTTGTTTTTTAATTCAGTTTTTAACTCACCTGTTTCCTCATCCACCTGTCGAAGAAGTAGATTCCGCTGTCATCATTGTCCGTAAGGTAGGCCACACTACTACATATCAGATCAGAAAAACATCAGTACTCACTACAATCACACGGCACAAACAACTGAGGTCTTGTTTTCACACATAATTTATGAATATTTTTATAATCTAACAAAAAAACACCAGTCTTTTAACCCCTGCTAACATTAGATAAACACAATAAGACCCTGAATTGTACAAGAGGCTACCTATATAACTATACCAGTACATGATGTCAAACATTAAGACACCAGAAACCCTCCTATATATACATGTACAGAAGTCTTACAGGAAAGTTCAATATTTAAATGAAACCAAAGCTACATGTACTTCGTATAAGTTTTTACCTTGTCTTTGCAAACCAGAAGTCTTTTTTATTTCAAGTTTGTATTAAATGTACATGAACATATATCGATAAATGAAGTTTTTTCAACACTTTAAGTGTGATATTTCTATAAGTCAGGTATGAACATGAGGATTTTTTGTAAATTAAACAAAGCTTTAAATGTGTTTTTCATTTATTAAGTAGAATTAACTCATTTTTAAACATCCTAAAAACTTAAAGTAACAAGTCGTCAAACTTGAGAATGCTGATTACATTTTTATGACATTACTTGATGAATTCATTTAAACATATACAGACAACTTACATGTAGTCGTTGTCTGTGTAGCCCTCCGACACCTCTGTGTCTCCAACACACTGCCCCGACTCCTGGGGGACACAGGGACCCTGATCAGCACCTAGTGGTTACAGACATATACAATAATATTTCAGTGTCCCAGACTCTGGGGGACACAGGGACCCTGATCAGCACCTAGTGGTACAGACATATACAATAGTATTTCAGTGTCCCAGACTCTGGGGGACACAGGGACCCCGATCAGCACCTAGTACAGACATATACAATAATATTTTAGTCTCCCTGACTCCGGGAGACATGCCGCCCCCTGTTTGCCTGTCCTCTCCATCGAACATGAAACCTTCGATTTATCTCTGCAGTTCACAAAAATATTGTTATTAAAAACCCTGTCATTTTAATTTGTTAATCAATTTTTCAGATGGTAATTAAAACCTCTTTGTCTTAAAAACACACATCTAAAAACAAAAGAATTATTTCTAACATCATCTGTAAATATAAAAGTGAATATTTACATATTCAAATTATCTTAAACTGCAATATGTCTCCTATCCGTCATGGTCTTAAAGAAGTGTATTATAAGTTATAAATGATAAGTATCTATCTTGGGATTTTAGACAGAAATTTCAGTTGACACGTACTGTTTTCTACAGGATCGCGGCAGACGAGCTTGACGTCCTTGATGAAGTATTCAGTTTTGTTAAAGAAGCGTCCGGTGAAATGTCGAGTTAACTCAGTGGTCTTTAGTAACGTCCTCAGGGCCATCTCATAATCTGAGTCCTTCTTCACAAGCTTTAAGTACAAATTAAACACAACTTAACTGAAATTGATGGACATTCCAATGAACTTAAGTAACAAACTCCTAAATGGCCCAATCGAAGCAAAGCCCAGTAGATGTGTCATTTGATCAGTGAGAGAACTCAGGTTTCCAAAAACAAACAAAAACAAGGGAATGCATATCTGTTTGTTGCTTTCCAAACTTCTCTCATAAGTTAAAAGAAGCACAATAGTAATAACATTATAAGATAATTAGGGTATATAAAAGTTCCTGTATAACAAGCCACTAATAATAACATTATAAGATAATTAGGGTACTTAAAAATTCCTGTATTAGAGGCCACTAATAAAAAGTATTGTTAGCTTTACATTTTTTGAACAGAAATCTTTAATATAAGATTTAAAAGAAATGTCTTATGTACAGTTACTTTCAGGTCACATTAAAATCATACTTCATATGCATGCATTTTAGAAAGCAAGCTATCCATGTAATGACAGTTAGTGTACACAAAATCCAAAGTATCAAAAACGTTTCACAGTACCACTGTACTTTCAATAGTATACAATTATTTACATACTAAGAATGACTAATTGACCTCAAGTTGACCTAATGAAATACGTCGACATTGAAATCCATTTTCAAAATTCAGTACACATGTTGCAGGTAAATTTCAGAAATACCTCTAAAGCCTCCACTACAGAGATTTGTCGGATGCCGTTCTGGTCCGGATCGATCGACTGTAAGGAGTAAAAAACACCATTTTAGAAGCAATTGAGTTGTACACAGTTTAACCAATTACAAAAGGCCCAGAGGGCCTGCATTACTCACCTGGATATGTTAGCAAAATTGTAGTTGAAATAGCCAGATGTTGCTGGAAGTGAACATGTATTACATGGTTAATCAGGGGTTTATATGCAATTGGACAAAATCCTGTCATTCCTACAGGAAAAGGAGGATTTTGAAGAATTTGCTATGTTTCTCCTATTGGGCCCTGCCCATCTAACCCCAGGGGGGG